CCCCCCCCCAACCGGCCGCACGGTCGTGTATCCACGCCAACATCCCCAAACAAATCATTGAAACCCATCTCCCGACTGCTCAGGGAGAGACGGAGGGGGTGGCGTGGAGCGCAGAGTGGGACGTGAACGGCTCCGCGCTTTGTTCGACGGACGGAAACACCTGCCGCACGTGGATATCCGAAGGCGACGGCGTCAGCAACAACTGGTGCTGCACCGATGTCTTCCAGGAGGTCGGCGTCGCCGGCACGGACAGGAAGACCGCGATGGATCGGTACGAGGAGGGTTCGGCAGCGGCACCTCCGGCGACGGTCCCCGAGATCTTGGAAGGCTGATCGAGAAATTAATTCGAGAATGAATGCTGCTGCTTGCTTTCGGGGAGGGCTGGCTGCAGCTCTAGCGGCCTTAGAGCTGGGTCTCGGTCTGCCTGGCTTGTCGTAACATATACTGCTACACCGCACTACTTCGAAGTAATAGTTTCATTTCACACTGAGAAAAAACGGTTCGACCCTACATGACCAAAGCTATAGTACATGTATTAGCGTTGGCCTGTAATTTGGAACTATTTTGTCTGTTTGTTTCTATGCATATGAGAAGTTGGCAAGTCTTTACTCTGTCTACATGCAGCAGTATGTATCTACCACATCAGGTAGGGTGTTAGTGTGGTGCAGGAGCGAGCGGCTGTGGTCAAGTTTCTCACGCCATTTTCGTTTTGAGAACCTCAGCCTGCGTGTCTCGTGATGAATGAATGTGTACTTACTTATCAAAGTACTCTGCGTTTTAGAGTCGCCCGGGACGTCGCCCGTGCAGGAGCGAGCGGCTGTGGTCAAGTTTCTCGCGTCGTTTTCGTTTTGAAAACCTCAGCCTGCGTGATCTCGTGATGAATGAATGTGTACTTCATCAATCAAAATACTTTGCGTTTTAGAGTCGCCCGGGACGTCGCCTGGACCCAGAGTTGGCATTATTGACCCGGCTCTAGGCGTACAGCAGTACAAAGGTCAAAAGTGTCAGCTCGGTCTGCTGCTCTGTTCCGCGTTTCGCCCGGGGGAGACCTACTGCTGTATACTCGCATATAAATACGTATGTCAACGTTCGAACGGAATGATCAGGTAGAGGCCCGCCATTTTCCACCAAGCGCTAAATAACTCACGGGATAACGTTAAGCGCCGGAGGTACTCTCGGCCCCGGAGGTACTCTCGGCCCCGGAGGTACACTCTCCGGCACTGCATGTATCTTCGTACTATCGCATCCTTATTGCTGGCTTCATCTCGGGCCGATTAGTCGAAGTTGGAGACAAGACACAGCCTGCACACAGGGACCTGTTTTTGTTGCAGGAAAAATTGCTTATCGCCAGAGAGTCTTGCGCGTAACGAGAGGGGACTCAACTCGGCAGTCAAGCAAGGGTGTTCCTACATTCGTCGCATGTAGATTGATACCAGATGCACCGACCGGGACCAGAATTTGAGACTTAATGCTCAAAAAGAACGGAAAGAAAAGTCGCCGGCCCTTTTTCTGCACAGCACGGGTGTTGCAGCGCTTTTCACTTAATAACAAGTGTGGGCACTCGTGACGTAGAAGTCTTCGCGCTCCGTGCAACGTGTGATTGTAAGTTGTTGCTCGGGAGAGGATCTTTCTGTGAGTTCATGTTTTGCAGCCGTCGCATCTGAACCCCCATGGGTGTATTCATGAGCATGCAGTGAATTACGCACGTCGAGGCTGCAGAATTGCCGACAACACTTGTTGGAGTGTAAATTGGGAAGAGTTGGTTGACGCAAGCAAAATGGTTGCGGCGCGAATGCGCACATCCCCCCACTGGAACTGGGGCGGGGGTGACAAGGCGCCGGCCCGAATGTTCCGGATCGCACCACAAAGCAGGTGGTAAACAGTAGTGGAATCCGCAGAGGCGCTCTCTGCTGCTTTCTTTGCACCCCCGGTCAGATAGCCTAAGCTGCAGCGCACTCTCCCTGTGTTCGCCAACCCGTCTATTGCTGTATCGAAAATGGTGTGGTGTCGGTGAAGCCATTTACGGTTCTCACTTTTTCAGGGGGTTGATGCGTTGATGCCTGCGTTATCATCGATACAGAGATACATGACACCGCTCAACGACTTGCCACAAAGCGAGCCACAAAGAAAATTGCTTGGACGCATTTTTTAAAGAACCATTTTTCGGTTGTTGTTCCGAAATTGTTTCTGTGAAGATTCGCTTTCTCGCTCCTCGAGCGACGGACATTTAACTTTTTGATTTTCCGAACTTCTTCATCCCCGCCGCTCGCTCTCTTTGGCACGTACACACACACCCCACTTCACCACATCACCCCCACCTTCGTCACCAAAGACCATGTGCCAGGTACCTTGCGCCAGGCCCCCGCCCCACCCGAAGCAGCAGCAGACGAGAGTGCCGATCACGATGGCCGCGGCGAGGCAGTGCGTGAGCAAGCCCATCAACATCGCCATCGGAGCGGGAGCAGGGTGCCAAAAGATCGCCGAGGAGCAAGCAACGGGGCGGACCTCTTCTACAACGACGACCGGGACAGGGCAGCAGCATGCGACTTCCAAGGCCGCGCCAAGCAAGGTCGTCCGGCGCGCGCACTGCCGGCGGATCGCCCCCGAAAACCAGTACCACCCGCACGTCTGCAACAACTGTGGGCAGACTTTCATCCCCCAGGGGCCCGGCAGGGACTTTTGCGGGGGCGAGTGTCGACACAGCTTCGCGTGGATGAGGCACATGGAGAAGAGAAGATTTGCACAGCAGCAGCTCCGGAGGCAACAGCAGCAGCAGCAACAACATCAACAACAACAACAACAACAACAACAACAGCAACGCTGACGGCGGAAATCTTCTTCGCCTTGTGGCGCGAGGTAGCAGGTTTTGTGTTTCATGGCTTGACGTGGAGTTGCTTGCCTTGCTCCATTCCTCTCTCTCTTTCCCCGAAGTTCGACTCGGGTTGGCCGCCGCTTTCCGATCATGAAAGAGAAAAAAGTGTTGAGACATGATGGGTGTACGTGGTAGGTTGGTTGAGTGTCTTCCAGTAAGCATGATGTGTTACCGTTATTTTTCCAAGGCCAACGACAGAACGCCATCCCCTTTCCCCGCGCGTTGTTCCGGGGATGTTTGTTGGCGACGCGGGGGCAGTAGGAAGCCTCGCCGCGCTTGACTGCTGTGTTGTTTGGCGCAATAAAAAGTTGGGCCGGGGGGGGGTGGCGCTGGTGTCATGTCGAGATTTCGGTCCTATTCTCGCATGTATTTTGGGGTTGGTGCAGTTGACGTTCGTTGCAGCCGGATACATTTCGTTTCATACAAAAACGCATGCGCACGTTGTGGAGCTTGGTTTTCCCTCCGGCTCCTTGTGGGGCTGCTACTGCCGCGTGTGGATCCCGCGCTGTTGTTGTTGTTGCCCGATCGTACCCATCCGTGTCACGTATGCATCGCGTGGTATATTGCGCGATCTGTGCTGTTGTTGTCTATTCCTTGCGTTGTTCTTTGTTGTCCCTTAATAAATTGGGTTGTTGTGTCGCATACGTCGACAGCAGTGATATTATGCGAGTTCCGTTGTGTGCTATTTGCCAGGACTCTCTCCCCAGATGATGATGCATACGTGTGCATATCACTCCATCATGCTCTCGTTGGCAGTGTAGTTTTATCGTGGTAGTCTTGTGCATAGCATACGATGCCACCGTCGTTCGTCGTTGTTGCAGTTATGGTCGGTGTTAAAACGAAAGTCTGTACGTAGCGACACGCAGCCCGCGTTTTCTCGAGTTATTGTTGTCCATAATAACCCCGGGCGAAGCAGTACATACAAAACATCTGTGTGGCGAGTTTTTCACACCTCCGCTGCACTATGTATCTACACAAACACCGATAATTTTCATCTCTTCGCCCCCCCCCCCCCCCCCCCCCCCCCCCCCCCCCCCCCCCCCCCCCCCCCCCCCCCCCCCCCCCCCCCCCCCCCCCCCCCCCCCCCCCCCCCCCCCCCNCTGCCCCAGTAAGAGTGATATGGGCGTGAATGGAGGATAAATGCTGCCCTTGCAAGTTTTTCATATGTTTGTGTAGGTAAGCGCGCCAACGTAGAATCACACGAGCAGGTCGCCGCAGCACCTGTCTGTGTAGCCCAGCGCGTGTGTTGTGCTTTTTTGAAGGTTTTTTTTCTGTTCTATATTTACCTTGGCGCAGCGTTTTGAGATGGGATCCTGTGCGCGCGAGAGATGCCGTACGGTCGTATGAATATGTCATCGTGTACTCTTTATTTTTCGTTGTTGCCCTAGCATTAGGAAAAATTAATACACACACAGAAAGACTACCCGTTCGAGATGTAGTCTACCCACATTCGAACGGGATGTGGTGGGAGTCTTTTCAGTGAGAATAGCAAATCTGGATAATACCTAAACAGTTGTTTGTTCCTGTTTTTTACCGCGCCTGGAGCCGCGAGATTAGATTGGGCTAGCTAGGTGGATTAATTTTCGTGCTTTTTCTGTATACACTCAACAAGACAAGTGCAGTTACTGCTGCTTGCTGTGGTTGGTTCCCTATAGTGGGAGGTGCACGGGCGTACTGGTAAGCAAGTCCTTGTTTTTTCAGTTTTCTTGTCATCTTCCTCTTTAGTATGGTGATCGATTCTTGTCTATGCATACCTTGTTTTTCTCGTTCGTCTCTTGGTGCATGGCTGTTGGCGGTGATTTGTTGCGGTCGTTGTTCTTTGTCCGTACACGTTTCACGAGTAGATTTCCATCTATTTCCAGTAGGCGTGCGTTGTTGTTCGTGTTTTTTTGCAACCAACCTCCACAAGTAGTGGGTGGGTGTTGCTGCCTGCGGTGAGATCATTTCGCGACAGCGTTGTTTTCTGTTCTCTTTGCCGTATGATGCGCAGATTATATGACGTTGGTTATGCTCCGTTTGACGATCTCCCACCGTAATGTTGCCGGTCGTTCGGATTGGTCTGTTTGTCTTCTCCTTTAGCAGCGTGGTTTCCTCGTCCTTGTTTTTGTTCAAATTGTTGGTGTCTGATTGGTGCTTTGAGACGTTGGGGGGGGNGGGGGGGGGGGGGGGGGGGGGGGGGGGGGGGGGGGGGGGGTCAGAGTACGTCATTTGTCTTGCCCGATATGACATGACGTGTTCCAGAGGGAGGGGGGGGATCGGCACACTAATAGCGATACGCACCCCAAGGAGTGTTTTTCACGAGTGAGTGTGTTCCTGGAGTTGAGTGTGTCCCGTAGGGGTGTACGTTAGGCGTACTTTTTCTTGGTATGCTATCATATGTACGATATATATAAATGTGTTTTGCCGACAGTCGGTGCAAGTGGATGACACCCAGCTGACAGAATTTTAAGTGATGATGTAGCTGATGGTCTCGAAACAGGTCAGTGTTTTAGGAAACGAGGCAAGGCTCCACGTGTGAGATGAAGGAATTAAAATTTCGACCGTGAGAGTTGGTGTGCGGTGCTTTTAACGTCCTCAAGTGTGCTGTCAGCATCGTAGCAGAGAAGGATCCTGTGGTGGTACCCACCATCGCCCGGTGACGGGGGGTGGTTTTGTGGGTGAAAGGAGAATTAATGAAAGATGAGAAAAAAAAAAAGTGTGATCGCATCAACGCGAGAGAGAGCTGCTCTGCAGCCGAAAAGAGTGTGTGCCTTCGGCGATGGCGCTCCTCTGCTTCCAGAGCGCGGTTGTTTGTGCCTTCGGCCCGTTTGTCTGATTGTTTTTAGCAAACGCGTGTGGGCCTTGTCCATGCATGGGTGTTTTTCTTTGTGAAACAGAATCGGCCCGAATGGACGCAACGTCTTCTTTTGTTTACCGAGCCCTTCCTTGCCAATCCACCAATTCAATCAATGTGCTTGCAAGTGCTTTTTCTTGTTTTGGTCGCATTCACTATTGTAGTTCGTTCGTGTGTGTGCTTGCTGTTGGCACTGCACACACACAAACCACCGAGGGGATGCCTTGTGATGGCGCTCTTCTTCGCGGTGCTTCGAGCAGATCCGATTTTTCCGTTGACTTGAAATGAATTTATTTGTTCAACCCCCCCTCTCTTCGGCATGATCGACGATTCATTCTCATTCCCGCAACGGGCGGTTGTACCGTTTCTCACGTCACGTAAAAAACAATGACAATGCTGTGTGCTGATGTTTATTGCGTCATGCATGAACATCCGTAGCGTCTAGGACAGACTGCTGTTAGCCTTCAGCAGCTTCTCCCGAGTGGAAGCTAGACCTCGTTTATAATAGCCTCTTGTTGTTGCGCATGAATGAATGAATGTGTGACTGCCTCGCTCGATGGTGCTGCTCCTTTTGGACGTAGCCTCATTTTCTAGTTTGTTTCTTGAACCGAGCGTACCATCCGTCCATCCATCAATCCATTCCACGCGTCTGATTCTTCTTCACCGCTCACGATCGCATCCGATCTCTCTTCTATCTCTCCTCTCTCTCTCTCTCTTTTCGTTGACTGTTTTTTCTCTTTGAAAAGTACCTTTCTTTAGGATGGGTGGGTATATGTATTTGAGGGCATGTCAGCTAGCCGTCACGCTTGGTCGCTGCAGACCGCACCCACCCCCCACCCACGCCTTACACCCCAAGGAAGGGTTTTGTTTGTTCGACAGCCCGGCTTCTTGAACCTTGTGTGGCGAAAATTGAGCTTGGCTTGCCGCTCTTGTGAAGTGTCGAATCACTCACCTCCACGCAATCAACGCGTCTGGGTTTTGTGGGCGGTGCGTGTGTACTTCTTCTAAGGGCAGTGTATGCTTGTTGTATTGCGTGCGTACGGGGAAATGATCGAAAGGGTACGTATGCATGCATGTGTGGATGGATACGCATCGTTTTTATCGACCACAACCAAACCCGAAGTGACGTCAAAATAGAACAAGGCAGCACGTACACGCGTGCCACCACTCCCTCAAGATAATTAGTGCTCGATTTTCACGGAAGAAGTCGAACAACCTTGAACCTCTCTGATCTACACTTTACCTGCAACCGGTAAATATGTGCCCTCGAGGGTTCGATTTTACGAAAGAAAGAAACCAAAGAAGTTCATTGAAATCTATCCACGCACACACCTCACCTACGTAGTATCCACAAACACCTCAATGTTTCCTCACTGATGAAGTACATGGAAGGGGCGTGAGGGTCGCGCCAAACAAGAGCGTAGTACATGTAGTGTACATTTCCGTGGCGCGTGCGTGCTCGTTCTGTCTGTGATAACGACGACGTATCGCGGGCCAAGCACTTATTATCTAGACTACATCAATCACGTCTTTTTTTGCCGTGTTTTTGAGTCGTCTACGCTCTTGTCCGCATGAAAAATGGATACATACGAGTTGGGTGATGCGTACGCATGAACGGTGGCGTACAACCAAGCTTTCTACGCTTGGTTCTCCCGAACGAAAGGCATATATGCCACATTTATCTATTGATGTTCTAAACGACCGCACGCACGAAGAATGATCTGCGTGCACCAGGTAGTAGGTAGACTATGTGTGTGTAATCGAAGCATTTATATTTCACCCCCAAAGAGCGCGTGTGAGCTCCGTGCACCCGCTACCCATCTTCCCTCTCCATGGATAGATAGGTGGGAAGAACGTACATTCTTGTTTGCGGGAAGGGGGGGGGTGGGGGGAGAGGGTACTCACTCGTGCTTTCGTGCCTGACTGCTGAGCGATTAGACCCCTGACAGACCACGCGTCCTCGAGAGGCCGGAGCGTGGTTCGATCACCGATGGTCATTCGTTCCTTGCTACGCTGCCAAAGGTGACTCCAGAATGTTTTCCCTAGCCCAACTCTCCTGCGAATATTTCTGCCGCCTTGTCAGCACACTTCCTGTTGTTTCCCAGCATAGCTACGCCTACCAGCGGAAGGGGGCGGGGGGTCCTGTATACTTTATTGAAGTTTGCCCTGGATACGTTTGTTTTCAGTCTTGTTGTTCGTGGACGATCCATAATAAATGTATTTTGACTGATAGGATGGCAAAGTCTAGCAGCAACAGGAGGGCGGACAAACGTCGGGTCATTCATCATCGAACGGATCGGCGCACCAGTCGAACTCACGAAGCTTCCTTACGTTTGTTTTTTTGCCGTCAATGGCCGTCGCTTTATCAGTCATTGCGCGGGCAAGGACAACCGGAATAACACCAAACAAACGTCATCGTTGGAAACTTTTTTAGTGTTTGTTTTCGTTTTATTACTCGTCTTTGTTCTTGTTTCTTTTCTTTCTGCCCCGTCACCTATCATTCTTCCATGATTCACCCGCCCCCTATTTTCTACGCTTTGCACACCCGCTTGAATATGTAATTGATCAAAGCCGCCATTTTCCCCACCCACCAATCACCTCTCTCTTAAAAAAATACTCGTTTCGCCCAAAACCAATTTACTCCAGCTTGCCCATCGTTAACTTTTTGGCGTTTGACACATGCTGCATGTAGTCATCGCCCCCCCCCTACCCCCCCCACCCTCCCATTTCTTGCTCTCCCTACCACCCCCCCCTCCGACTTCGGCGACAACAAACAACAGCAACAACAACAACAACAACAAACAACGCTCCAAAAGAGCTCCACACATACATGAGGAGCATGCAACATGTTCAACAAAGTCGGCTGTCTCTGCCTACTAAATTCTCTGCGCTATCTATCGATGAACCGCCTCCGGTCTGTGCAACTTAGCCCCCAAGAGCACAATATTATACAAAAACGCTCAAAGGTGCAACCAGCAATAAGCAGTGACTATGGTGGGGTCTCATTCAAATGGTCGGAACATTGGCCGACTGCTTGCTTCTTGATGGGAGTCCGGCGGCCCCACCGCTGGGCCGACACCCCCGACCTCTCAGCCGCGCGGCCCCCTCCGGCATTGATCAATACCCACCCGGCACGTACATGTATGTGGTACGGGTGAATGGTCCAACAAAAATCCAAAGAGAAAACACTGCCAGGCCAGGACGTAAGGATATGCTACAGATTCTTGGGATCCTGGTCGACAAACAACCACATAAAAAAATCAGAAATTCAAGACATGATGGCACACACACCACCTGCACTCGCGAGTCATGCCTGCACCCCTCCGTGTCCCCCCCCAAAACACCCACCCACCCACCCGCCCACGCACAACCCTCAAAGCCGCAACTCCTGCACCTTTTTCCTCCGTCAAGGGTCCTTTTCATGGAAGTTGGCGTTTCGCTGTTGAACGGGGTTGGTTGCTTCCGGTCCGCCGCCCCCGTACCCACTTGGTATGATGATTGGAAGGATATTGTCACCGGAACCACAACCAACGGACACATCATCATCACAACCACATCCACCACCATAACCACCACCACTATCGAAGGATTGATTGGCGTTCGTTGTGTACCGTTGGGCAAGGGTCGACCTCCTTCTTTCCTCGTCCCCTCTCTCGTTTCCCATCTTTACTCTCTCTGTTTTGTTTCTAGTGACTCCATCCAGCACCCGTCCCCCACCCCTGCCCCCCCCGCCATCTATCCACCTGCCCCCCACATCAACCACCCGACCGAAACGAGAAGAAAGAACCTAGAAATGCCCGAAATGGCTCAGCGACAAGGCACAGCAGACACCCACCCTACCCTCGCACATCATACACCAATCACCACTACACCACCCAGTTTTGACAACTCCAACGCGGCGTCTTCGTCGCGCATTGCACTTTGAAATATTGCTGCTGCTGCTGCTGCTGCTGCTGCTGCCGCATACCAGTATAATACCGTGCACCGATGGGTCTTCGTTGGTTCGAAAGAAGGCAATCTATGTTTCTCCACAGAATGCTTCAGCAACCCCCCCCCTCCTCCCCTCCCTTCCCTCCTGTTTTAAGGTTACTCATCTTGTTTGTTGATTGCCATGGTGGCGAAAAAACGCCCGACGCAGGGCAACAATCAAAACAGGTCACCACCTTTCTACGCTCTCCCGCCTCCCTGCCGCGTCTCCCTTCATTTACCACGCGGGAATGCCAGGACGTGTGGAAAACTATCAATTCAAAAAATGAACAAAGTCAGGGGCTAGACAGACAACGAAAACACGACACGCACACACACACACAGCCAGCCGGCAAGGAAGAGAGACATGAACCTAGCTGAGGTGTTGCTCACTTGGCCGGTGCGACAAACAACTCCGCGGCCAGCAACGATCCCTCCCATCCCCTACACCCCACGGAACGTTGATGTTCACGTATCGGCGAACTAAACACCACCATGTAGACTAGATCCCAGCCAGAGTGTACATCGGTCATCGGACAAAAGGAGAGAGAGAGAGACTCGAGAAAACGGACAAGCCTAGGAGCACCACAACAAAAACAGAAAAAATCAAGATCGGTGCGTCCGTCCACCGATGACGGAACGAACGGTAGCAGAGAGAAGGCGGCCACGCCGTTTCATACGACGTGCGCGCCCTGCTGGCGGGCGGGATGTTGCCAAGAAACACACACCACACGAGAGAGAAGACAAGAAAATACGCACACAAACACAATATAAACGAAAAAAAAAACTAAAAAGAAAAACACTACGTACATACACCACGTTTGTTTTTCCAAGCAGAGGGCGGCCCGCCAGCCCCGGTTTGTCCCGGTCGGACGGAGAAGAG